TATATAAATATACATTATTCTAACATAGAAGTTTTGATTCTTGTGAAAACACTATTTACTTCTGTTCTGCTTTGGGTGCAAAAGAGAATATTTAAATGGAATAATAAAAGCTGGGACTCGTACATTTAAACAATTCAGATAATGCACTTTCTTGAAGTATAACTTATTTTAAATACCAAGCATATCTTTTGCCACACAGATTTTTAAATTCCAGGCTTCATGTGACTCCTAATGTAACTTTGAGTCAAAGTGAGTATTCCCATGCAAAAAACGGAGATGTGCAAAGCATTTCCCACATATCAGAAATGTGGATTATTTGCAGATAATTTGCAGTTCACTGCAAAATAAAAAAAATATTTATTGGTAGCTAGGGTCTGACTCAACGTCAATTTATCTTTGCGCACCTATATTTGACCACATTTCAAAATACCCCTAAAATGCACTAAGAATTTCCAAATGGGTACTTTTAACAATACACTCGCATTAGTAACTACTACATTGTCTAACAAGAGCTTGTTTTGACCTATGTTGTTAGCTTTATACTAAGTAAAGTGTAAACTCCGAACACTTTCTACAAAATTCACAGATAAAATTTTCTACCTCAGATACCTCAATTTCTGCCCTAGCAACCACTTGGTCAGGTTTAAGCTCCCCCACACTTTTTTACAAAAATAAGTATTTTCTAAGTGTTGATTGCAACTCACTTTTTGAGGAATTCTCAATGGCAAGCAACACTAAAATGAAATTAAATCATAACTGAGTAAAAAACAGAACCCAACATATTACTGCATCTAATATAACTATCTGATTATTAGCTTCTAAATATCATAAACATTTTAGAAATCATTTTTACATGCACCCTTAGGGATTGTAATGAAAGACAGTATTTACCTTTTTCCTTCATGCAATTTTAAAAAAGCAAACAAAAATACTCAGTGAATGCACCTTTTGCTCATAATGGTTTTTTTAAAAGTCTATACCAATTCTGTTTAAAACAGAAGTAAATGCTCCAAAAGGGTGAAGGATTTCCAAAGCAGATCTTTGTTTTAAAACCATTATGCAGAGAACACAAGCAAGAGGTTTTAAGCACAGATTTCTCCTACTCATTGAATTTATAAGCAAAAACAGAAAAAAGAGCATTCCACTACCATGAAGAGGTGGAGGCAACAAATTATAAAGCACATCCCGTTTATTGCTCAAAAGAAAAAGCTCACACGAAAGACCCATAAAGAAAAGTAGTGGACAAACTTTTCTACTTTGTTTTGAACGGACAGCAGTGATTAATTATCTGTAACAGCCAAATACATACGAGGTTGATCTGGATAGCAATGACAGCAAAGATTCAGATGAACAGCAAAAATCCTAATCTTTAAAGGCATTTCTATGTATAATAATTTTATAAATGAATATATTCAAGATTTGTGATACCAGTCCATTGAACACTGTCTTAACCAGTTAAATATTGTTCCAGGTTTCAATATTAGCCAAATTTATATGCATTTTGTTTTATTTTTATCTCTATTTTACACAGGAGGAAAAACCTTAAGTAATACACTGGTCCAGTTCACAAAGTTTTATTTTTTTGTTTCAATGTTTAAAGAACAACTAATGCAGGCCAAAGAAGAAGTTATAGCTATATCCTTACCAATTAGAAGTTATCTGCAAAAGTTTATAAAGTGTATTTGCTCAAATTAACATCTCCACTGTAGCTGAGATTTATTTTGCTCATTGAAAAAGAAAGCTTTGTCACACAGAGTGATTAATTACCAGCATCTGGGATATCTGAGATGGGATTATTGCTTCTGCAATCTCAACTTAAAATTTAACCCTCTTTATATGTGTAAATGTAGTCACTGAGAGGAGAGAGTGCTGCAAGGCACTCATTTAATGATTGCAGTATTAAAACAAAATTGTAAGTTCTAAAGATGTTTAAAAAAATAGTGGCAGTGTTTCATTGCATTCTTCAGTTCAAAAACTCTTCAGATGTTTATTATCTTCTCGCAGAAGATGCTTGTCTATATTTTATGGTCAGCAGTTCACAGAAGAGTAAATAGGTTGGGTGTAGAAGAAAACAAAAAAGGTGTTTCTACTTACTGTTAGGTGATACTGCCTCCATATTTCTGGGCAAGCCTGGAAAATAAAAATATTGATCAGCTAGGAGCATGAAACAAGGTGCTTTACAGCCTGTTGGTTTTGGCATAACACAGTATCCACCGGTGTCGGTCACAGGAAAATAAGAAGCTTAACTGAAAGGGTCTGCATTTCAGCTTCAAAAACCTGGCTAGACAGTTTAATTGAATTTTACACTGGTTTAACACACTCCCTGCCATTGTCAGAAAGCCAGTAACAGTTTTCTCTCTCCCCTTCTTCTCTGAAGGTTAGAAGTTTGGGAGAGTAACGTGCTCTTAACTGTAATAAGAATTAATACTGCAAAACAAACAGAAATTAATTTAAATTCTACATTTTCTGACATTTTAAATTTACATAATGTTCTGGAAATTAAATCACAAGGCACTTTCCTTTCATGTAGAAACAGAAATATTTTAGTATTTTTGTACATATCTCTATCCTAATCAAAATATAATTGTTACATGTAATAATCCTCAGTAGCCTAATGTCAGATGAGTTGTAAACAAGAAGCATAACAGATTGCTTTAATGTTTCTATTTTTACAATGGCTTCCTTGATTTTTTTTTAGTTTTTTTTTTAAACTTGCCAGACTCTCACACAAACTTGTAAGTGCAGCCCATTGTAAAAAATTTTACAGAGCAGATTTTTGAATCACAGCAATAACACAATAGACCTGAGAAATACATAACAGACAGGAAAGAAGAAAATGTGGCTCTTCTTTAAACAAAATCAGAATGTGTTAATGATCAATGAGACAGAGGTCACTTTCTCAAGGCTTCTTAATATTTTTACAAATTTTACAATATTTCTGCCTTTTCCAATGACCCTCAAGCCATAAACACGTACAGAAATAGTAGTACTTTGTCTGTAAGCCATTTTAGTGTTTAACTCAGTGTGCACACAGTCACTTTGATGGAGGTCTTTCACTTTTGTTTGGAACATTTACCCTTTTATTAAAATAGCTTCTTAATAATTTGAACAATTAGCAATTTGGTTTGTCAATCTCAATTTTCAGTATTTTAATAAGAAATATTAGTTATTCTGTGGCTTCTACATAATATGCTGTAGCTCCAATTTGAAGCATTAAAGCCTCATGACTACTTGCAAATGAGTACTATTAACATTTCTTTAGATTTTGAATAAATTTTTCGCTCATGCTTAAATTCTTGCCTTCTTTTAGTCTGACAGAGCATGTTTACTAAAAAAAACCCCACCCAACAACCAATATTAGCAACTGAATCTCTCAAAAAATAATCCAAGTTTTTGACAGTCACCCTATGGCATACACAGTATGTTTTTCCCGGATGTGATGGAAATTATATTATTTATTATTCATTCCGTCAGTAACACAATTTTCTGGAGAAAAATCTACAATCTGTTCTGTGTAATCGTTCAACATTTCTCCTCTTACTCAAATACTGCATGTAAATATTTGAGTTTTATATTAATATTTCTATAAAGAAAATGTGTGAAGTACATCACATTTCTAACAGAGGAACAGACTACAACATTTGACAGTTTGAACACACTCGAGCTGTCTTCAAGTGCAAACAAAAGGATTTTCCTCCTTTGCTAACTTACACAGGATTCGGAGGTGCGATACATAAACACTGTTGAGCGTACAAAAATGTTGTATCAAAGACCTTGCCTTCTCTTTCAAACCTGTAAAAGGCTTCAACTGTACATGAGACTTTTGCTGGTTTAGCACAGGGGTAGCAGGCAGTTATTTATACATTAGTTCTGGATAGTTTTCGATTACCACAGTGTCCCCAGACTAATATGGTTGAAAAATCGCAATCAATGAGTTGTCATATACTGGCAAAATGCCATTCTGTGATATGACCTTTACTCACACAGCAGCTATTTAATAATAATAAAAAAAATTACTTTATTTTTTAATAATAGTTTGGTTGGGGTTTTTCTTGCTCTGGACACAAAGACATCACTTACAGCGAAAATCTGTAACTCAGAGTAGGAAACGATAGTGGACACAGCTCTTACCAAAACACTGGAAGAGGCACAGTCCCAACCCCTCAGCAGTGCTATCAAGAGGTAGGTTTTATCATCATCATCATCTTTAAGGATGTTTTAAGGCTGTGGGAAAACTTGAGGGAGGTAGGAAGAAGGTAGTAAGGGAAAATTGGCCAAGCATATTTCTTCATTCAGATGGTGATTCAGTGTAATACTTTTCATTGTCACAATGATCACTTACGAACTTCAGAAGTTGAATACAATAGTCCAAAATGGATGCCTGGCTAAACAACAGCTTTTTAGAAACGATGCTTTTAACTAGGAGTCATATTACTTTGCATCAGCTCAGAGTTATTGTCTGTATCTTCTATCACGGAATGACAAAAAATATAATTAACAATTACTACTGAATACTGGCTTCTCAAATGAAGCAAAGAGGTTTGCTATGGAAGAGAGCATAACCAAATACAACAACCACCGAACCTGTGATTTTTCTTATTTATTTAAAAGTACTTAACCATGAATGGCCCTCATTTAAAGAAAAGCCCTTGTGGTATACAAGTACGATGGCAGTGTGATGAACTACATTAAAATAAAATTGCATTTATTTCCTGCCCCAGTGGTCTGACCTTACTAGCATTTAGATGTACCAGCACAAAAGGTGCCTACTCTTAAAAGCAGTGCCACTGCGGTACAGCTGCAGAAAGAGCAGGCGAGGTGCAGTTCCCCACACCTTTAGCTATGTCCGCGTGCCTTTTGCCGCACAAGTGCTGGGCAATTAATTTTCCCAAATCCGTGCTGGTTTTGCTGCAGCCCACATTCGGTGAATTTGGAAGGGTGATTATTCATATCCGAGCCTGATCCAGCTAAGGTTGCCACACCAGATGAATCAAGGCTTGATACTGCGCATTTTGACCCGTATTGAATTTTATCAGGTGCTAATTATTGTTTTACCAGAACAACGGCTTAATGCATCTGTTGTTTAATTCCCACTTCCCTATTCTCAAACGTGAACATCAAAGAAAATAAAACACTCAATCTCAAACAGCCCCTGACAGCAGACCAGGACTCCAGTGCTCAATAGACAAGGCCCTTGCCACCAGTTCTCATATTTCCACAACAATGAGCAAACACAAAAACAGCACTAAGCGGCCTTTCCTCCTTTCCGCTCCCCTTGGCCGGTCGTCTGCCTTGTGCCGAGAGGGCCCTCGACGGCAGCCCTGCTGGGAGCGCAGCGCGGGGGAGAGGATTAGCCTCGCTAACATGCGAGCATTTGCAAAAGGGAAGGAAAAACCCCGCTACTGTATTTGGCGTATGAATAACCAAAATGCACGCGCTGACAGGAGACCGGGACGGGCCTGCGGCTCCCCGGGAGAAAATGTAGCTGTGATGAGTGACAGGGCTTTCAGGAAATATGTTCACAATCACAGACAGTGAAGGCCATGACCTAGATCGTTTAAGAGCTTGTCTTGTCAAATTATCAAAAGCTTCTTCCTCTCTGAATAAAGAGTGACATAAGTGAGTGTCAGAAAGCTGCAGGCTGACAAGCCAAGCATACAATAACAGCATGCACGTCACATACTTGCCGAACACCGCCACGGCTAGCGGCAAATCTTAATGAGAGCACGGCTGGCCCAGGAGACTTGGGTCCCTGCTGGCACAGCTACTCATCTCGCAAAAATCCTTCAGCTCCAAGTCAGTTATGGTCTGACACGACGACTACAATTACTAAACACAACTTTTTAACAGAATCCTCTGGTGCTTTGTCAAAGCGGCGGCTGCGAGGAGCTGCCCCGCCGCAAGCCACCACAATAAAACAAAAGATTTGCCAAAACACACACTTTTCATCACCTCCGCATGGGAACTGCCGCGGAAAACATACAATGCTTCCCTTCAAAAACACTCCTGCACGAGCAGATGTCGAGATGTCGAGACCTCTCCCTGCGCTGCCAGCACAGACGGCCGCCACTGCCGGTGCCGGCACAGAGCAGGCCGAGCTGGTTAACCGCTGGCGTCGACCAGGCTCCCGGTAACGTTTACTTACGCTTACCATTAGGCAGACATTGACTTGCTGCAGGCCTGAAAAATGGGGGACGCTGCTGGGGAATGAGGGGAAAAACGCAAAACCTGCTGCCGCTGGTGCAGCCCCGTGGACTTCTCCCCGTGTCTCCAGCCACATCCCGGCACGCAGAGGTGGCCACGTCCCCACAGCAAGCACCAGCATGGGTTCCAAAAATGACAAATGCAGAAGGAAATCTTCTGGGAGAGAAGAGGCTGGTGGTGGTTTAGACGTCCAGAAAAGGTGTCAAGACACATGGAGAAGACGCCAGCTGAGGTATCTGGCTGGTTTCTGGGAAGAAGCGCTGCTTGCAGGGTGTTTGGGGTGTGCAGACATGCACGCATCTTTACATGAACGGGGCTAGCAGGCACAGCATGGCTGAAGAGTGCTGGGGACCCAGGCACTGCTGGCTGCCAGCTCCTGGACAAGCTTTGGCAGCTCACTGAGCACCCACACATCGTTTTTTCCTAAGTATACAAGGAGACACTGTCTTGCCTGCCACATTCGCCTCCTCCCTGCCACATCACCCTGTTTATGAAGTTCTTTCCCACCCTTGCAGCTGTCAGGTGAGACTGTAGACCACAAGCCTCATGACATCCACCTAACTGCCACCGAACCTGCAAAACACAGGACGTTCACAGCATGGGTTTTTCAGCTTATACATATACAAGCATAAGTATATATATGCACACACAGATATATATAGATAGACATTTCTTGTGCACACAATGTTGCATGAGACTGATGTGCTCTTTCCCAGGGGAAGCAGCAGACAGTCAGAGCTGCACTTGAAACTTTTGAACAACTCTGCTACATGCTCCTCTGATGATCTTCCTGAGGAAAGCACATGAGGTTGAGCTGCTTCCAACACATCTCCATCTCAGATGACTCCATATATTCTCAGTACCATCTCAGGGAAAGTGACTGTCCTAACTGAAAATAAATGTATTAGTCTGAAAATGTTTTCAAT